GCGTATCGTCCATGCAAGAGCATCATTCGTTTTAGTCGCATTCATGTTAACGACTGCACACTCAACAGAAATGGATATTCGCAGTATTTGCACCCAATGCAACGGAACCGCATATTGCATCCATAAAATAGCTTGTGTTGTTTTAGTCATACTCGGATAGCGATTCTATCAATAAACGTTAGATTGCTTTTGCAAGATATGGGGCGATATACACCTAAACAAGGAGAGTTATTTTGGTTTTCCTAGATATATTAGGTTGAAATTTTGCGCGGCAGATTTGTGGAACGTTTAATTCATCAGCCCTAGAAACAATCCTACGCGACAATGTTCAGAACCTCGCGTGCTTGATAAAAGCCACTTAATTAAACGTCTGTTTTTCTGCTATTTTGTGACTTTGAGGTTCAAAATAAGAATAACGAGACGAGGTTTGTGAGATGACGCTGTCATTTCGTGCATACACTTCGGTCATATACATGCAACTAACGAAGGAATAAATGGGTCAAGCGGAATCAATTTGTGACCAACCGTTTTCCGATTGGTTCCTTGCACCGATTTGTGTTCAAAAGCAGCTGGCGTTAAGCCTACCGTGGTAGCTTGTAACGTACCAGGTGGAAAGTTATTGGCAATAGTCGATTTCAAATGACTTCGTGCTGAATACTGTGCTGGTTTCAACTATGTGACCGAGTAGTGTGCACAACATTCGTCGTCTGAAATTCGTATTTGGAATGAAAAAAGGAAGTTCAGTCACAGAATTTGAAGTTGCTAACTGTTAACTTAGAGCCTTTGTATAGATGATGCAGGGGATTTCCGAAGAAAACCGGAGTGGGAGTATACAACTGTTTTGGAAAGAGTTCCAGGGTTGGCCAGCCCGAAGAGCAAAGTATCTCCATCGACAGTCTATACGACTACATTGTGCACTCAGTTTCAGACAGTTATCTCTAAGGCTGGTTGTGGATAAGTTTCAGCAAATGGTGGCATACGTGGTTGGGGTCACTGAATAATTCGCACACTGATATGAGATCACCGCGCATCCTTCGGTGGCGTCCGCTGCAAACTCCCAGCAACTGCAGAGTTCGCCGGTAAGACTGATTACGTACGCCCTTGACATACTTTGCTGCATTTTCTCATGGTGTCTCTAGCGCCTCTATGTCACGTTTCAACCAAGGTTGCCAAGCTTGGATGGCGTATGCAAAGTGAGAGTTGTGAATCGTCGGGAAGATAGAAGGTTAAAAACTCCGGAATGCACATCGCAGCATGCCGACGTGTTGCTTGTCTCATAACGCAGCAGTCTCCTAATGATATGAGAAGGTGGGGTCACTCTGTACGAGCATACCAAGGCCACGTTCCTGAGAGCTGGTCTGTAATGTGTATGCTCCAAGCCAAATACATGTAGTCATATCTATGACGTAACTGAACAACGCGACATTTGTATACATTGAATGGTACGGTAATCTGAACTGCCCCGTTTGAAATCGTGTTAAGATCGCACTGGAGCAGTTCGTGGTCGTCCGGTCCCCTGATCGCTCATCATATCTTTATATCACCTACGAAAAACAGGAAATCGGAAACAATTGATCTCGCTACCTCGTTTATGAACACTAAGGATAGACGACGCTCAAGTGCCAAGCCTTGTGGTACACCTCGCTCCACATCAATTGCATCGGACAGTGATTCCCAGACTCATTTCCAAATGACGTCCGCGCAGAAAATTGCTTATGCAACTCAGGGTTGCGTCACAAAGGCCTTAGTTCCAAAGCCTGTGAAGGAGAATTCGATGGTCTAAGCGAGCAAACGCTTCTGAGGAGTCCACATAGATGACATCGATTCCTGCTCCACCATCAACTATTTCACTACAGCTACTGTGTGAAATTAGCAGCTTAGTACCACAGGAGTGCTTTTGACAGAATCCATGTTGCTCCGGGGCTATTAAGCTGTGGTTATCCAGGTAATGCATTAACGCATCTGCGACGATTTATAACACAACTTTAGATAGTATAGGAAGTAGCGTTATTGGACGGTAATTAGCAGAGTCAGTGTGACTACCTCCCTTAGGAATAGAAGTGATGACCTCTCGCTTGAATATTGATGGAATATGGTTCTCCTCTAGACATCACCAATAGAAACTGGTCAGTGGTTCTGCGATATCAATAACTACTTCTTGCAGAGCCTTCATTCGAATGTTGTCGACTCCAGGAGAATTGTGGATAAGCAGGGATAACAACTTCTTCATCACAGCTTCCGCAGTGAAGGTGATGTATAAACCCGACGGTGGAGTAATAGAAAGGGGGAAATATTTGGGCTCGTTACGCTCTGGAACTTATAGGAGCAATGAAACCGTAGGATAGCGACTACTTCACTTCTGATCGCCTGCACCTATCAGCCGTGACCAGCGTTGGGATTCCGCGCTTCACCTTACGAAGGGAATTAACCTAGCTCTATAGAGGTTTGCGGTTTATGCAGAATCGCTTCATTAAGTCCTGCTGATGCGTACTCTTGTCCTAGGGGATTAAATTCACCCAGAAGTTACACTGTGCCACCTATGCAGTCCACGTAACGGCATTCGGGCAGTCCTTGTGAGCATGTCATGCTATATACCTCAGGAACATATATTTAAGTGTTCTCCTCCTCAAAAAGGACGCATTTGCTTTTACCATGGAAGGATTGTTAGGATGCATGCACTACCAGTGTGCTGAGCGTCTTCCCACATTACCCCTTTGGGGGAATTACCACTCAGGTTGAGAATCACTGCTCAACAGCCTCGCCTCGTTTTCCATAGCTGGTAATCTCATGGCAAAATGTTCGCTGCAACAAATGAAAAATGGTGATCGCCAAATTCGTATTTTTATTCAGCGTGCCACAAAGAGATAGCCAGCATGCGCCAGTTAACTCGCTAGGTGGGACGAGTTTACCCAGTTGGTATAAAGTGGGTTTGCATTTGGTGAATGCAAAGTTGACAATGCAAACACAGCACTTACCGTTTGTTGTTCACTTGCACGGGCACAAACGGAGCAGTGACAGACCTAAACAGAACAGAAGTCACAAAAGGTTCATATGAGACCAGGATGGAAAATTACGTTTGACATTGTTGTGTAGGACAGTGAATGGGCAATACGACAATGGGCAATAAGACAGTATATGCTAAATGCGTACCTCCAAACAACGACCGAAAAAATGCAGCGACCAGATGGCACAGTTGCATCGAAATTCCTCTTCTACATGCACCCATAGACAAAACAACCTGGCTTTAACAGTTAGGCGCGTAGCAGAAGCTTCATATATATATATATATATATATATATATATATATATATATATATATATATATATATATATATATATATATATATATATATATATATATATATATATATATATATATATATATATATATATATATATATATATATATATATATATATATATATATATATATATATATATATATATATATATATACAACTGTGGGATTTCTGGGACGTTCCTCGCATGCTATTTCCATGAAACCCACATTCGGTAAAGAGCTGAATTGCCATTCTAACAATTGGAATTCGTCAACCTTTTGCTTAACCATTTGCAATTAAGATCCCCGGAAAGCCTTCTTGCACCTAATGCCTTGTTTCCACACTCCCGATAGTCCTTCATAACCGATTCGCAGTTGGTTCAAATAAATCAAGCAGACTAAATAGCAGAGAAGTTTACATTAAGTATACGCGGAACTAATTGGAAGATCAAGGTGTGGTGTTTGCCCCTCCGTACCATGGACGTGGGATTTCGAAATAGTCAAGAACTGTTCAACAGTGTTCTACTGTGTTTAGTGATGTAGTGGCAACAGTGTCCGTTGATACGAAATAGGTTCCGGGTTCGATAAACAACTCCAGTTATTTTTACCGCAACAGCTCAAACAAGGACGGAGGGAAGTGGGCGATGTAATGGCATCGTTGGTGGTTGTATTATGTATCGAACTAAAATGCGCAACTTTCCGTCTCAGGGCGCGTCGCCAAATAATGTGGTCGCAAACAATAACCAGGAAACATTGAGGAGCCCACAAACGTATGGCGTTGTTTTTGTCCTCCATTCGACCTGGCCCGCGTGTTCTGCTGCCTTGATAGCGTACCGCGCGGACATCCTACGTGCGTGTCCTCTGCCGGGTGTGCCTTTACGTTTGGTGCTACTGTTTGGTTGTCTATACCGCTTATCCTCACAGTGTGTGCCTGTCCGTTACGGTTACTCAGTGAACTCATGCAAATACGTTTCCCACAGTTTCCTGTGTTGTCTTTGTGCTGGAGTACGTCGGACAGGTCAATTGCGATCTATCCCGTGTATGTCGGCCAAGCGATCCTGAAAGCATTTTAAACGTATAGTACGCAATTAGCGACAAGCACCAACTCGCTCGTCCGCGCTAGATCCGGTGCTCGTTTCCAAAGGACCAACTCATGCCTCAAGGAAAATCACAGTTCACATGGAGATGACAGACAACTATCCAAACAAGTAATGTGGATTGCAAGAAGCAAAAATAAAAATAAATAGAAACCTCTTGGATTACCGAGTAATCAACTGGCGCGAACTATGTCGGACAGACTGATTTGTTGATCGCTTCTCTTCAGTTCATTGTTTGGTAACAATGCGACATATTGCATGCATATGAACAGTCTAAAGATGCGACTCACTTTGTTTTGCGTGTCTCCTTATCCCAAAGCCTGCGCAACCTCCAAATACGCAATGCTTTCTGCCCAACAAAGCGTCTCTTACTCCTCCGTGTTGCAATGGTGCTAGCAGGCGTGCAAACGATCTTCGTCGGAATGTGTTCCATCATAATCACACCCAAATTGTGGGTAAAGTGCTGTATTTGGAGTAAAAGTCAAGAATCACAGGTTTTTCCGGAACCAATCGTCATTGCAGCCCGAGAAATTGACCAAACGGGCGAGATAAATGCTGTCGGAGACCACAAGGTCAGTGTTTAATTTTACTGATTAATGAGTTCGAAGGTACAGAAATCATCGAAATGAAAGTTCCTGGTACATGATCAGATTTATAGGCCCACGAAGAACAAATAAAACATTAAGATCCAAGCCACGAAGGGCCTCGGAAAACCCTCATCTTATGTAACGCACTCGATGAAATTCACACAACCAAACCGAGTGACCGAACCGTGCGCTGCGTTGAACCTAGTCACATCTAATATGTACAGAACATAGCAGTACTAGTGTGTGCATGAATGATCACCAGTAAACTAGCGCGCAGGAGTGGGACACACTGAATGGATTTACAAGATCCGGAGACGTGCATCACTATAAACACACATCTATCAAGGGATGTTTACGCTTCACGAAATTCACTTAACGATTATTCCGCTACAACAAATCGCCAAACTCAGGTGCAGCCCTAAATCCGCATTGGCTGTGATACTTTTTACACTGGATGTGTAAATGCAGCATACCCTACAAGAATGTGCGTGATTTAGCACTGATAGCACTCTTTGTTCAAGGCTTGTTCGTTCAAAGCAACCTCCACGTGCACGCTAATGAGCCAAAGGATCTACTTTCCGCTGCCACGTGTGTTGAGCTCTGTCACCTCCAAAAGTGTCCAAAGCAATGGAATTGCTTTGTGGGAGTATCCCATTTAACGTCCAGTGGTTAACAATTATAACCGAGGAAGAAGTTATCGATATGAAACGATGACAAAGTTACGAGGAACTCCTGCGTATGAACGAAATGAGACAAGAATGGAAAATAGGGGAAATTTGGATTAACTTTCAGGTTGTATGGTGGATGGTTTTCTCGTAATTATGGTGCTTGTTTACCTACAACGACTGTGGTTTCTGACTAAGTTACGGGTTATTCAAGACCAAAAATTAAAATCCCACATACAAAGTTAGAAACTAAAATACGTGTTCTCCATACTTCATTACTTTTTCACTTATTGATGCAGAAGTGGAACAGAGGAGGCCAAGGACCTAAATTCAGGGTGAACTCATATTCAGTTAGTAAAGCTAGATGAGTGCGTAAGTCACGATGACGACTACTAGTGATTGGTTACGTAGGTATTCGAAGTTGGTCTTGGTGAAGATAATACCGACGTGAACATGTATAGCGAGTACAGATAAACCACTGGGAATAACTATTACTTTGGCGACAGTTAGTTTTGGTGATCACGGTGTCAAATTGGCGACTTAACCC